CAAAATGTACCAATAAACTCAGTAAAAGAAAAAAAATTAGACTCTTTTAAGGTCAGGGGTTTTGCTCAGTGGTTCTGCTGTCAGTCTCATAAGTGCAAGATCCTGAGTTCAATCCTTGGTACCAAAAAAAAAATTAGACTCTTTTAGGGGTTCAGTCATGGACCGAAGTAGTATAGCAGCACATTAGGAAATGTGGTCAGTGGAGAAATCAAAGAGAAAAGACAGATGATGAATTCTAGGAAAAGAGAAACAGGTTGTGTTTTAAATGTTCCTTTTATGCTCTGTTTTATTTTTAAGTTTTCCCTCATGTTATCTTCAAGTATAAGCAAAATTTTATTCACAGCCTTTTGGAAATTGTGCTTGAAGAAATCGACTCTGTTTAAAGCCATTGGCAAAAGAGACCAAAATGAATAATCACAGTGCAAGACAGATCACAGACCTGGAGAAAGAGAAGGGGCAGGCAGGGGCCTGAGCATCGGTCAAGAGCACAAGGATTTGAGGGCACAGGGATACATGGGACCCAGAGAGGGCTCCAGTTTTTCATCACTGGACAGTAAAGAAGAGGGGCTCCTCCTACTGCAAATTGATTTGAGGCAGAATAAATCATGACTTTTGATAACTCTTACACCATTTGAGTTAGCCAAAAAAAGTTTAAAATCATAGTTACTACAGAAAATATTATCTCTTTCATAGACGTACTTAAAAGATAATTTAAAAATACTATTATAATGTCCAAAAAGATAAATTGGGCTTTCTTCTGTTCTCTTCCCACCCATTGGCATCTCAGGAATAATTTCTTAGTGAAGCGCACATTTCACTCTAAGCCACAAGATGTCAGGCTAACCCAGTATCTCAGATTTTCCCTTCTCCTGGAACAGTTACTTTTTGTTTTCTTTTTATGACCAAGGGGAATTCTGGGGCCCTCAGTACTTTCAGAGATCCCCAAAGCTACTGGCCCCGAAGCTCTTCAATCCTGTTGGTAGCCGCGTTCAGGAGAGAATCCGTAGTATAGCACAAAATGGCTACTTCTGGCAGGATATCAGAGGAAACTTTGTATTCCAAATGTGATATGCAAACATCTGTTCCATTGACCTTGCTTTCTTTCTGCCCACCAATCTTTCTCCTTTTTCAGTTAGACTCCAAGACAGACAAGTAAGCCTACATGCCTTGGGAGATGTCTGTCTGGGAATACCATCCTCCTTTGCCTTTTGTTAGGCAGAGTCTTTATGAATGATTCTTTCTGAGATCCCAATACTTGGCTTTGAACATAAATAGAATCTTTATCATAGGCACGTGATTCTCCATACTGAAGTCTGAAGCTTCCTGTGAATACTCCCACTTTCTCAATTATTTTTATGTGCTGGGAGGGTGCACTGGGGTGACCTTCAAGGACAAAAGACATTGGTGTATCTTTTTTTGGCAAGCCCAGAACAGGGCCTACACCCATCAGTTTAGAGGTGGATTTTTAACTTTGGCTTTAGTTTTGACTCACTGTTGTCAGTATGGGGCCAAGGTAAATTCCCCCTTCATCATCTCCCAATTTTTACAATGACACCAACTATTAAAGAATATCTGATGTGTAGAATTGAGTGCAGTAAGTACTAAGGGGGAAAACTCTTAACAGATTTTGAGTACTTTAGTTCATCTAGTGGTCACAACCTTACAATAAAGTACTATTATCCTGTAATAATTGAATACAAACAGAACAAAGTTGAAAATTCCCTTGATTTATAATGTATTTTATTTCTGAGAAATTTAGTGCACATTAAAATTATGCAAAAAATGTTCTATGTGCATATGATATATAGAACTAGATTCTAAACCAGACTCTATAGCTAAAGATTTAACCTCAGGGCCGGGGATTTGGCTCAGTGGTTCCACCACCTGCCTTGCAAGCACAAGGGGCTGAGTTTGATCCCCAGTACCCAGAAAGAGAGAGAAAGAAAGGAAGGAAGGAAGGAAGGAAGGAAGGGAGGGAGGAAGGAAAGAGAGACTGATTTAACCTCCGGTGCAAAAATAAGACTGAGATAATAATTACCTAGACCCTGGCTCATCTCAGCTGCCAACCTGCTCCCCTTTATTAAAGGGTGCCCCTTTAGCTTGTCAAGCTGGAGTTCTTCCCCATTTTATCTTACTCTTCTTTGTTACGGTCCAGTCTGCTCTTTGTCACCTCTTCAAGCTAATCTTTTACCATTTTCTCTTACTTTTAACTAAAGCTTTTTCCTGCAAATTTATGCTTTAGTTTCAATTTCCATTTTTACTAAAGTGAGGACCTATGCTTTCTACTGACGGATTCATCACCTAAAATTTGTATCATTTCTTTGTAACAAGTACACTCAACGTCCTCCCTTCTGAGTATTTTGAGATGCATAAATATATATAATTAATATGCTTAAGTCAAAATATGAATCTTTTAAAATATTAAATTAAAAGTAACACCATAAAACAAAAAATCCAGTCCTAAATGTGTTCTGAAGGAGATCTCCTGTTTTTTGGGAATGGTGTTACAGATGATTACAAAACAGAGTCCTGTGAATGGACAGGCTATGAGATTAGAGATAGTAGGGAGAAGCTTTAGGTGACAAACAGCGTGAAGAAAGAAGAAACACAGAATCACGTGGCAAAATTGGGGAACAGCAAGCTATAACTAGGTTGGCTGGAATGTAGAATATATGAAAATTCCATTCCAGACATTGTGAGATAAAATTAGAAATTTAAATAAGAATCATATCCCAGAGAACATTTACAATTAGACTAAGGTATGACTGGTAAAATACTGTAAACATGAGAGGACAATGTTATCTCTAAGGAGTTGTGCCTTAGAGCAATGAAGTTCATGGTTCTTAAAATTGGCATCAACAATAAAATTTGTTTCATTTATTTCTCATACTGAGGTATAATACAGGGCTTACTGAAGTGTGTACTTCTATCTCTTCAGCTGATAAAGCTCAGATTTATTTAAGGCATTATATGGTTTTGTGCAATTAACTTAGGAAGCAAAATATCAGAGAGGAAAAACTTATCATTTCTTGCCACATAAGGGCTGAGTGTGTATTTAAGATTACCTGTTTGTGAAGACAGAATTGTACTTCACATTCATAACTAAGGTAGGAGATCTATAGGATCTATTGAAAGTCCATTTGAAAAGGAAAATATAGCTTTGTGCCATATATGACTCATGTACCTCTTTTCCACAGGAGAAGTCAAGCTAAACCTAGAGGTGTGTTTCCCAGCATAAGCACATGAGAGTTCTGTGTAGGAGTTAGTGACTGTGCAGAAAGCTGATTGAGTAGCCAGCATGTCACAGAATGCAAATCCTTGAGATAAACTATGATATCCAGGGCCTCCCCAGCTCCCCCTCGAGACATTTGTTAATTCTGTGACTATATCTTTCAAAAGGGACTACAAGTTGGTTGCTAAAAATAAATGAAATGATTCAATGGGCAAGTAAAGACTGCCATGTCTATTAATCAGCTAATAAGCAAGGTTAATTTGATCCATATTGACTGAGTAGTATTGTAATATATTAAATAAAAAAGCAAAATTCAAAATAGCATGCATCATAAGAATTGATTATGGTAAAGAAAAAAGGCAAAATTTCCAATATTAGATAAAGGAATAGAGAGATGTTATAATAGAAGAGTTAATAATATTGTTCTGATTTGAGAAGTAAAACTTGGCAGATCTGTTTATAAAGCACATGGCAACTTCTGTAAGAAAAAAATTGATAAAATGCATGAACTATAAAAAATTACGGAAAGATGAGTTAACATACATGGAGGGATAGTCAGAGGGAGGGACAGACGAAGAGAATGTGACTGGGTAGATGGCTTGATGAAGAGGAGAAGCAAAAGAAAGGGAGGAAGGAAAATTATTATCATTCAGAAATTTGAAGGCACTGTTTGAACTATTTCTCTAGACTCTGATGTTTCTGATAATCCAGTGCCCAAACTTCATTTTCTTCTCTTTATCGTGAATGTTCTCATATTTCATATTTAGGCTCTGGACATGAGTCTTTTTATTTTAAAAAGTGTTCCATTCAAGCTTTTGAAAATGTCTTCATAGTGCCTCTGAGATAATTTAGATCCCTCTATTTCCTCTAATCTATCTCTTCCGGCAATATTACTTGTTGCCAGTTGAACATACTAGATAGATCCTTTATACCTCTTACTATTTCTCTAAAACTTTTTTACTCCTTTCTTGGTGCTATATATTTTGAGAATTCAATAAGATCAAACTCAGCTTGATCAAACTTGAGCTTGTGAGGCAGGTGGTGGCACCACTGAGCTAAATCCCCAACCTGATAATTCACTTTTAATTAAAAATATTCTTTCAAGCATTGTATTCCTTTCAAGAAAATCCTCTTCTTGCTTTATGAATACCATATCTTCTTAAATTCCTATGTTTAAGTTATCGTCTACGTTTTTAATTATTTATATATTTGAGTGTGTTATACTAAAATAATTAGGAGCATAGTGATTATAATTGTGATTAAGAAGAAGAGATGTATCCATATTTCCGAAACACAGTGAAAAATATTGTTTACTAAGTGTATTAGTCAGCTTCCCCACTGGTAGAACACAATACTTGACAACCACAACTTAAAGGAGGGGTTTCATTTAGCTCAGTGGGTTCGGTCCATGGTCAGCTGGCTCCAAAGCAGAAACATCATGGCAGAAGGGCATGGCAGAGAAAAATTACTCAGTTCATGACAGTTAGAAAACAGGGCAGGGAAACAGAGGTTAAGGAACCAGGAACGAGATATAGTACCCAAGGGTACATTTCCATGGCCACTCTGACACACCCAGAGGTGTGCTAGCAATCCAGCAGACCTCAATATTTCGAGCACCAAGGACTGGTTTCATGGAAGACAATTTTTTCACAGACGAACTGACAAGATAGTCTTGAGATGACTCAAGCATATCACATTTATTGTGTACTTTATTTCAATTATTATTATATTGTAGTATATAATGAAATAATTATACAACTCATTACAATACAGGATCAATGGGATATCCCTGAGCTTGTTTTCCTGCAACTAGACAGTCATATCTGGGGTGATGGAAGACAGTGACACTCGGAAATGCGTAGCTTGTGTCCAGTGTACTTATTTATAATATCATTTCGATGGCTGTCACTGCAAAACACCCAGCTTCACAAAGATGAAATGTTGGAAATGAAGACTGGCTTTTTTTTTTTTTCAATCTCAGGATATTCTGCCTTGACCAAACATATGGAGATTTGAAGTTGTGACAAACATACCTTTAATGTCACTGTCATTTGTGATCTCACACTGTTAATCCTCTTCTAACACAGAATTTATTCACGTGGCTTAATCACAGATGAGTTCTGGGTCCATTTCTTCCTAGTTCAGGGATATTTTGTGGTTGAGAAGTCACGGTCAAATTCTTGTGAAAGCTGAAATAGATAATCATGCACCAGCTAGGAGACAAAAGGCCTTGACACAGTCTCTATCAAAATTTTTGATGTTTGAAATATGTCAAAAATCCCAGTGTTCATCCATCACCCCCATAATTCCAGTCTGACTTCAAATGCAGCACTTTATCTGCCATCTTGAATGCAGTTTTCACTCTTTCCTGAAGTGACAGATTGAGTGCATTGAGTAGGTTGAATACATCACATGAATAAGTAAAGTTTTGTGACCTTTTCAGTGTCACTGAAATATGCTTCCAGTGGTAACTATTTTTCTAAAAATCTCTGGAGTGATTCTCACAACTCAAAAACTCTGGTCAGTTATTTATCTTTAGAAAGCCATCTCACTTCTGTATATAAGAGAAGACACTTGTGCTCTGTGCCCCTTTCCTCACAGAATTACATAAAAAGAAAAGAGTTAGAGGCTTGAAAAATTAATATGGTTCATAATTTTAAACATATGCAACAAAACATTAAGTTCAAGTGACTTTATTCCAATAGCCAGAATTTTTAACATTTCACATCTTTCACATTTGTGTTTAGACTCACATTTAGGAGTGACTTACTTGATGCAAGCAGTAAGACCAGAAAGCCTTCCACTCACAGCCATTCCATCTATGCAAATACTGACACAAGATGACCAGTGTTACAGATATGTAACCATCCAAAGACGTGAATAGTTCCTCAGCTGTGCTAATGGTGGGCAATAAAGGTGCATATAACATATCCTCATGCACACCGTCATGTAAAATATATCAAATAAAAAGAAACATTGTCACCTATTGTCAATACGGCTAGAATCATCCATCTGGATTGCAAAAAAACAGTGACTCATTAATCCTCTCTAGCCGTTGTGCCTCAATATCCTCTGCTATTTTAACAAATCTGCCTTGAATAAACATAGGGAGATTTGAAGTTGCCACAAACATACTTTAAAGGTCACCATCATTTGCAATCTCAAGCTGTTGATCTTCTTGTGGCACAGACATGGTTTGTCCACCTGGATTATTAACAATTGATCTAGTTATGGTGCTACCTGAAAGAGGAACACATGGCATCATTTGAACTATAGCCTCTCTTACAATTTCACAACAAATGTCAGGATCAACTCTTTACTAATAGTAATGGGCTTCTTAACTTTAGTGATGTGGTTACAGCTAGGAATTATGTTCTTGGTGCACCCCAGTTGGTGAAGTGAGGTCCTTCCATACTTGCTTCTGTTTTCCATATTCTCATTTGTTTTCTTTTGAAAGACTCCACAGGCTTTTCTTTTAAGGCAGGGTGCTTGGTCTCCATGTGGAAAAGCAGTTTTGAAGATCATGACTTTGTTGGACAGCTGATAAGCATATCTTGGTGAATGGGCAAGGAAATTATTGCAAGAAACATATAAGTAGAACGTTTAGCATTTTCATTTAAATGCAGTTTTCTTTTTGTTGATTATCTTAGAGCTTCCCGCTTTGATCATTGGATCTTCCCCCTTTCCAAAAAACCTCTGCAATGATACTTGTTTTTTTTACCATTTTGCGTCAGGTTAGCTTGTGGGTTTATCAGAAATGTGACTGAGATAAGCGCACAGTATGGGCAAGAAGTTTGGATAGAAGTGACGATAATAAAATGATGGGAAAGCCACACAAGGATTAAAATAAGTGTCAGATTCAGACTTATAGCCTGCCACCAATGCAGCTTAACTGTCATGTGCCACTCACCGATGGGTTTTACATGAATCTGAAATGTCTTATGGTCTCTGTGAGGGTAAACATCTCTGCTAATGTTCTATATTTGCAGTTGCTCCCCAGCTCTAGTGTCACTGCCTCAGCTCCACCTCTGATCATCAGGCATTGGATTCTCAGAAGGAGGGCTCGACTTTTGTCCCTTGCATGAACAGTTCATGGTAGGGTTCATGCTCCTATGAGATCTAATGCCATGACTGATCAGAGAGAACATGGAGCTCAGACACTCATGCAAGGAAAGAGGCGAACCTGTAAATACCATGAAGCTTTATTTGCTCTCTACACTCCCACCAACAGTGGAGAAGGATTCCTTGTTTCACTTAGCTCCACCAGCAGCATTTGTTATTGGTTGATTTCTTCATAATAGCCATTCTGTCTGGAGTGAGATGGAATCTCAATGTTGTTTTATTTACACATTTATTTTTGGTACTGGGAACTCAGGACCTTATGCTTTCGAGGCAGGCGGTGGAACCACTGAGCTAACCCGGCCCTCAATGTTGTTTTAATTTGCATCTCCTAAATGACTGATACTGTTGAATGTTTTTTCATACATTTATTTGAATTTCTACTTCTTTATCTCAGAATTGCCTATTTATTTGGTGCCCATTTTTGGACTGGGTGTGTAAATTGGAGGGATTTTTTTTTTAGTTATTTATATATTATAGATATTAGTCCTTTCTCTAAAGAATGACTGGCAAAATTTTTTTCCACTGTGTGGGTTGTCTCTTCACTCTTTTGGTGATTTACTTTGCTGTGCAAAATCTTTTTAATGAGATCCCACTTGTTGACTATGTGATATTTCCCGTGTGATCAGGGTTTTGTTCATAAACTTTTTGCCTACACCTATGTATTTAAGAATTCTACCTATTCTTTGCTCCAGAAGATATAGTGTTTCTGCCTTATTATTTAGATTTTTTATTTTAGAATAGTGCATGGTGAGAAATATGGGAATAGTTTTAATCTTCAACACATGGAAAACCAGGTTTTTTGCACCATTTATTAAAGAAGGTATTTTTCTTCCAATGAAGTTGTATGGCTCCCCCTGTCAAAGATAAGGTAGTTGAGTGTGTTTGGAATTGCTTCTGCATATTCTAGTCTGTTTCATTGATCCTCAGGTTTGGTTTTTTGTTTTGTTTTGTTTTGTTTTGTCTTTTTGCCAGTACCATGCTGTTTTTATCACAGTAGCTTTATGATATAATTTCAAGTCAGGGAATGTGATGCCCTCACCTTGCCTTTTTTTTTTTTTTTTTTCAGAATTTCTTTTGCTGTTCTAAACCTCTTCAGGTTCCAAATGAATTTTAGAATTATTTTCTTTAGTTCTATAAGGTATACTATTGGTGTTCTCATTGGGTTTGCATTAACTCTGTATAACAATTTTGGAAATATGGCCATTTTCACTATTTTGCTTCTTCCTACACAAAAACAAGGAATATTTTCCCATTTTCTGATATCCTCTTCAACCTCTTTTTCAGAGTAGTGTAATTTTTAATGTAAAGAGATTTTACTTCCTTCGTTAGATTGATATTCCTAGGTATTTCTTGTCTTTCTTTCTTTCTTTTGATGCTATTGTGAAAGGTGTGGTTTCCCTAATTTCTTCCTCAGTTAGCTTGTTATTTGTGTACAGGAATACTATTGATTTTTAAGTGTTGTCTTTGTATCCAGCTACCCTACTGAGTTTGGTTATTAAGTTTAGAAGTCCTTTTGGTGGAGTTTATGGAGTCTTCTATGTAGAGCATCATTGTCATCTGCAAATAATGATCATTAACTTCGTCCTTTCATACCCTTATTCCTTCTGTCTCTTTTTCTCATTTCCAGAACCACATGGAATAAGAGTGGCGATAGTGGACCTCCTTGCCTTCTTCCATATTTTAGAGTGAAAGTTTTCAGTTTTGATCATTTTGTATGACCATTGAGTATGTTGGTTTTTCAGAGATGGCTTTTACCAGATTGAGAAATATCTATTTCAGTTTTCTGTAGGGTTTTTAACATGAATAGGTGTTAGACTTTGTCAAGTGCTTTTTCTGCATCTATTGAGATGATCACATGGTTTTGGCTCTGTGAATATAACGTACAAGCCACATACTGATACTACATCCTAGGCAGCTCCCAAGCCAATCAATCTGAAAATTAAGCTTAACAGTCATACTGTGTAAGTGTTAAGGAGGGAAAGCATGCTTCTTATAATGTAAGCCAAGATAGGTACGTGGAAGGAGAAGCCAAGAGACCTGGTAGAAATTGATTGCAGGTCATCACTGCTACTTATTATGTAGGCATCTCTAAGTATTTTTCTAAATTTGAAGCATTCACTATTGCTTACTAGGTCACATGTACATGACCCAATTTAAGACATAGATAATTATCAGTATTTCAGGATATTTCCTGGCGCCTTTTCCAGATCATGACCTTCTGTCACCCTTGATCTTGACTTATGTTTTATTCTTTAATATTTTGATGTATACAGGTTCTCTTTTGACGTTGAATCAATTTGAATCACTCAAACTTTCCTGGAAATTGTTAATCTCAGCTAAATTTTAAAATTAATTGTTATATATTATTTTATCTTCCATGCCTGACAATTTCCCTGCTATCTGCTTGCTTTTATTAGTGATATCTCCTTTCCTTGTGTATTGTGAATTTTGAACTGTGAGCTCTCATTTTTATTGGGAATTTTTTCTGTGGGAATTTTTGAATGTGAATTCAAACTTGATGTGTCCCCCTACCAAAAAGAATCATTTTTCTCTGCCAAGGGTCTAAGCAAATTATAAATTGCTACCACCTGTATTAAGTGATATGACCAAAATTTTCCTGGCTGCAAAGGCAATGTGAATATGAACAAAAGCCTGAGTTAAAGTGGTTTCACGAGTACACATTTTTAGAAAATTTCTTTCCCCTCCATTCAGCACTATGGTAAAAAAAGATATTTCACTAATATTATATTCTACAGAGTGAGGTTTTTTCCAGTTTATCTCACCTCCAAGTGTATAGTGTTAAAGAATCAAAGCATAAGATCTCCCAACAGACTTCCAGTGGGCTCTAAGGTTCATCTCCTATTTCCTGTATCCCCCTAAGGCCAATTAGAGCCTCAGTATGCCCAAGATTCTTAGAAACTCCTACGAAAATTCCAACTGTAGCATATATCTCATTTACAGGTTTTATATTTTAACTTCACTTTGGATACTATGGATTGCTTTTTTAACTGTCAGCTCAATGGGCACTTAGTTTTAAAATATTTCATCCAATATCTTTATATTTTTCAACTGAGAGGCCATTCAGTGTATCTATCTAGTTTTGCAAAACTTCCACAAGCCACTTATTTAATCTTTAACAAATTGATGTTGCTAAGCACTTTGTGATAATGGAATGCTTCACATCTGCATTGACCAATATGAAAGCCAGTAGGCACCTGGGCGGTTCAACACTGGGAACATCATTTCAGGCAAAACAAGTGAATATCTATTTTCACTTAATAGTAGTCATCTAAATTTAAATAGCTATTCATGGCTGATAGCTCCTTAAGAGACAGCTGGGAAGTAGACCTTCATTTACCCATAGATGGTGCTCATATAGTGAGGTTTGACTATTCAAATTACATAAACAAGGATGTGAGATTTTTGCATACATGATCAAAAATGAATCAAAGGAAAATAGTTTGGAAGGAAATTTCTAGTCTTCTCCATGAAGATGCAGGCCTTTGGCCTCATTTTTTTAAAAGAAGAATTGCAGGATGTGTGGCATCCATCTGGACATGTCTCAAAAAAGGACTTATTGCAGGTTGCAGGATTGTGTAAACCCAAAACAGAAGCAGAGTACCTGAAATGGCATAATATACTCTCCAGATGGCTGCATTAGGATAACGTTTTGCTGCAGCAGCTTTGCCTCTCAGCCCTATGAACCAGTTCTGACTCAAACTAGCTTTGTGAATTTATGGCACCACTGGCACTCACATCTGTGCCCTCATCATGAAGCTTCTCATCATTATTTGTAACATTAAATATCTTTTTGCAACTTCAGGGAAAGAACCATTGATCCACGGAGGGACCACTCCCAAAGTTATTGCTACTAAAAACAAAAAACATATATTTCCTTTCAGGAATATAGAATGAGTATTTAAATCATGTGCCTTTCTGGAATTCAGAAGGTAGGCATAATCATAGGAAAATAGCACTAGATTCAGACTCAGGAGAAATGGGTTCTAATCCCAGTTCTGTCATTAGTCAGTTGCATGTGAAAGTCACACAACTGTCTTGTGTAAGCTTCCTCAACTGCAGAGGGACAGTTATGAACTCCATTAAAATTCAGATTCCTTCCTGCAGTCTTATTGGAAGATTAATTTACCCAGAATAGTCACCTATATTCAAGGATGAGGTGGGGCAGAATGAAATTTCTGTTTCTATGCTGTTGAATCCTCATAGCAGATCAGTCCCAGTAGAAAGAGAGCCAAACGTGAACTGGCAACTGAGGATTTGATGGTAGAAATGGCATTAATTGGACACATTCTTGTTTCCAGAGTATACAACTTATTATAATGCACCTGAAACTTTCCTTGTTGACATGGAAAGGCAGCACTAATCTAGGAGGTCTGGTGACTATTTAAGGTCAAGCAGTGTATTCTTTTTGCTTTATTTTGACCTTTTCATCCTGTCATGGTGTATGATAATTTTAAACTTTAGTATCACTATGAGCCTCTTCCATCCATATCACTATTACTCCTGTTTCTCATTGGTCCTCTGCACTCCATCCTTAATAACTTGGTTTCCAATGTACAGAAAATTATGCACTCAGAGCTCCTGAGAGAGGTCATTTCCTAGGATTTACATCCTTTTTCAGGACAACATTTTCTTTCCTATTAACATGTATTTCACCTTCATAAATGGAAACCTCTTTTACCTAAAGAATTTCTGAAAAGCCAGAAACCAAATGCTAAATTTATTTTAAAGCAGAGTATCACTTCTTTAAAAAAAAGGCACTAAATTTAAAACTATGAGTTTAATTATTAGGGAAATAAGCATAATAAATATATCACAGAGTGTCCAAAAGTCTGCAAATATAGAAAAAGTACTAAATGTATTATATGTTATAAAGATAGGGAAATTGAATCTCAGTATGGGTAAAACTTCAGAGTTGACAAGTAGTAGACCAGAACTAGAATTCAATATTGTATTTGTCTGTCTCCAAAGTTATGTGATTTGTCCCACATTAAACATAAGCATCTCAGATCAGAAATGCCTCGCTAGCATATTTCTACAATTTTTCTCACTAGAAACTTTAAGCAACAGTTCAAGACATTAACCCTGTCACAGCCCACTTTGCAGGTGCTAGGATGAAGCACAACAGATGGTCCTATTGTATGGTAGAGGAGTTGAATTAAGCTTTGGTCAATTTAACACCTTTTCAAATAATATTATCTTTTCATTTCTGCTAAAGGAATTTTCTGAAAATATGTTCCAGAACATATTTTTAAAAGTAGTATATTTTATCCTAAATCAGTCCTGTGTGTATGTACTTGTCTTCATTCTATGACATTAAATGTATGTTCAAGTCAAAATCATCTACTTGAGGCAGAAACTTAGTTACAGAGGCTTGTCACATCTAAGTGTTCTTGTACTATACATCACAGTACTCTGAGAAATTATGATGATACAGACTTAAAGAATTTTCAAATGTTTGGGTTGAATGAGATTATATAATGAACTATTTCAGTCTCCAGTTCACAAGCTCATATACTGAGGCCCATTCATTCATTCAATACATACATAGTACATGACTTCAGTAAGTGATTAAAATGAAGAATTATCCCAGTGAAGCCCATGCCCGATCTCAAATGATGATATTTGGTACAATGGTGATGAGAAGAATTAGAATTTCAATGTAATTGTGTGTAGCTAATATGATTTATAAAGGTGTTGATGGCAAGAGGCCCTATGAATAAAAACTCAGTAAGTAACAAGGCAAAGAAGTCTGGAGATGATTTTAAATATTATGATCTGAAGATTTCAAAGAAACATTTCAAACTTATAGATCAGTGCCACTTAAGGTGGAAAGACTTGACTTGATGCAATAGTTTGGGCATTTCACAGAATAATGTCCGCACAAACAAGCCATAGAGTGACAAGGTGTCCACAAGCTATACAATGGGATTCATGAATCTCTCCATCTTTGAGACAGAGTCATTTGTGTCCTGGGAAGAACCAGCTTCTTCCAGATTTGTATCTTTTTCTCCTTTCCTGTGCAAGTGAGATATAAGGCTATGCCTACTAAACAGACACTGGATTGCAAATGACATCAGTTGTTCTTGGTAAATGCAGGAGTTTAAAGAAAAAAATTAAAGGAAACTTTTTTATGTTATGTTCTGCTAAGACAGTAAGCCCACAAACGTGAACATGAAATACGAAAGAGTATAATGAAAACCTCCCACATTTGTTCCAGAAATCATCGGGGAAGGCACCATAGAACACTATGACTACTCATATGTACTTCCAAATACCTACTTGGTTCTTCCAAGGAACTAAATTTCATTCTACTAAAGTGTATCTGGATAGGTTTGGAGGATTTGGGAGGTAGGACCCCACAGATAGACTTAAAAGAAACCTGGAAAAGTCCAAGCCATGACTTTGGTTCAAAGAAAATGGAACAGAGGCTCAAGCAAGGACAGTAGGGTAGGTGACACTTCAGTGTAACCTTAAGGCTAAAGAGTGGATGGAGACATATAAAAGAAAAATCCTGTTACTATATTCTCTGTGTGACTTGGAGGAAATGATTAGCCAACAGCATGAAGATCAGTAAATGTAGGTTTGATACCTGCGTCTGTGGCCTCAGTTGTGAAGTCACATTTGAGCTGCCTCCAAGAGATGCTGGCTGGCTCTGGCACTAGGGCAGTTGTGACCATGTCCTAGGATAAGTACCAGGATTGCCTAATCATGACGAGGCCCTAGGATTGGTACTAAGACATTGGGCACTGCAGGAAAAATGAGGAGTCCAAGACCTCTCATATCCCCTTTCCCAAGACAAGATTTATCTGGATAATGTAGTTGAGAAGCCTGCAGAGGCATCCCAAAAACACATTCAGGAAGAAGTTGAGAGAAGTTGTTATTCTTGAAGACTGCTTGAGGAAGAACCAGAAAAATATTATTTAACAACTCTTGTCATAAGTTATATTGATTGGTTCTTATGTTGATGCAACCTCTAAACAAATACAGGTTGGATTTTTTTTAATGTGGTTATATCTTTCCCCCTGTAATACAATGAGTTTGTAGGATTCAACATTTGGTAAATTGCATAAGATGGATTTCACCCTTCTAGTCTCCTTACAGCTGTTTTTGCGTCTTCTCTATAAGTTTTCTTTGCTTAAAAATCACCTCTATGAATATCATATTTACTACATTCCCATCTTTGTTTATGTGATATAAATGTGTATTTAGACGGAACGTGTTTATTCAGGCTGTTTCCAGCACAAACTTCAAACGATTGATACATGAAATAAAAAACAGGGGTGTTAAGTGTGGCATACCTCACCTTCTCCTTCCGATTCAGGTCACTGTGGAGATATCAAATTAGGGAGGATCTGAGTCTTACCTGGAGAGAATTAAGAACTGATTAGGAATTACCAAACTAGAAAGGTTCTAAATATTACAAAAATGAAATGGGCAACTGATTATAATGCTCAGAAATACCTTCTCTGAACCATATATTCTCTGAACCATATAACCATATTGGGGAGATTTCTACTCATACTCCCAAATAAAAATAAAATGGTACCTACAATCACAGGGTGAGAGCCTGGGCAAGTAGCTCAACCTCCCTAGGGTCAGTTGCATGATTCATAAAATGACAACAAAAATATCTGCCTTTCCTACCTTGTAGAATTGTTATATGATATCATTACATAAAGTAAAAATTGCAATGTTAACATATTTCTCTTTCATTACAATTTAACTTTGCTTTTTGAAAAACAAACTGTCAGATAAAACTTAAATGGGTCTTTTTTTATTCAGTAATTTTATTGGTACATTTTAGGTATACAATACGATGACATTCATCATTGGGAATTTGTACCTTGATATACCTTGGTTCTTATTTTTTTTTCCCCATTTCCTTGCCCTCCCTTCAATCCCTTCAATTCCTTTCTATTTGCAAATGCATTGTTTCCATTTTTTTCCTTTCCTCGTATTTATTCCTTTCCCTTCTTTCCTTTACCCCATCCCCCTACTTTCACTTCCCCTTTGGACCTTTTCTTCCTATTTCACATGATCTATTGCACATTTTGATCCTTATTTACCCTTTCAGCTTCTCACACCAGAGGTACTATTTGGCATTTACAAATGTCTTTTTTTAAAAAAAATGACTTGCTCTTACAACCTAAAATGTCAAATTGTCAATTCCAAATTAATTTGTAATAACTCCGTGGGAACAAAGACTTCTCCACAGAGTCTGTGTAGGGTGTTTTGTGTGGTTGGGAGGAGAGGCGTTAGGTCAAATGTTCTCTGCAATCCAGGAACTTCATGATAAAGTATAGCACATACCATAAATATTTGCCCTATGGTTCAGAGGACAAAGAGGTGAAAATCATTTATCAGCACTTTTTCATCTGAACAATAAACACTGAAAAAGAATTGTAGTTTTAAAAATATCTCTTGAAAATGGGAAGGGGATCAAGAAATGAAGGGCAGAGTGGGTGCGAGGGGAAAAGGATATCAGAAGAATTAAGACATTTTGTGAACATGGACCAACTCCCCCTGATGGAAGTAATTATGTACTCTACACACGTACCAATTAAAATCAGTATCTTAAAAAAGTTCAGACTCATATATTAAAAAAAAACAGGATGGCTTTCAATTTATATATTTTCTACCACAATAAAAGATAAAGTAAAGTCCATTTCATGCCCTTAGGTAGTAATTTTCCAATGCTTTAAAAATATTCCATCAGGTCAGGGATTTGGGTCACTGGTTCTGCCGCCTGCCTCGCGAGATCAAGGGTCCGAGTTTAATCCCCAGTACCCCCCCAAAAAGCAACAAAAACAAAAACAAACAAACAAAAACTTCATCAGCCCCCTTGGCTAATTGTTGAGGTCTGCACTGTGCCAGAAAATGTGGCAAGGAAATACATGAATCTTAGGATCGAGGCCTAAAAGAGACCTTTGGGCTCAGTCACCAATTTCATCTTGTATTTGTTTCTTTTTATTAGTACATGTGTGCATTACATAATGATGACTTTCATCATGGAAAATCGGTACATGTACATAACATAATGTAAATCTTTCGGTGTCCCCGGCCCCACCCTCCCTGCTCCTTTCCTCTCTTGGTCCCCTTCCGGTTTGCAAAAGTTTTATCTCATTTTTTCATCCTCTTTCCCTCCCTTCCACCCCCTCACCCCCTCCCACTCTTGATTTGCTTCCCATTTGAAAAAGATCTCCCTACTTTTTATTATCTATATTTTATTTTGCTTTCTATTTATATTTGGGGGTTTTCATATAAGGAAAACCAGATACCCAATGTCTATGTATTCTAGAAGTGCTTCCTCCGTTCTCTTTAAGTTCCCAGTGCTACTGTTGGATAATCAAGATCTCATCTCAGCTGTCACGAAGCAGGTGGTTTCAGGAAACAAGGTTGATGGGAGTCCTACCCCTCCAGTAGAGCAAGTTGGGCTGGTGTAAACAAGGTCACAACTGTGGAATACTAGCAGCCTAACTGGGTACTGGGATAAGCTTCGGCCCTACCTCTTTGAAAGTAAATAGAGTGATTGGCAGCATTTAATCACTAAAACTGAGGCTCAGAAATTAGTAGATGTCATAAAGAGAAGGTCCTCAGTGTTTTTTGCTCACAAAATTATCATGAATGACATTTAGAAAAATGTTATTTTAGTGAAAGGATCCAGGATGCTATACAATTCTACCTTTTCAAAAATAAAATTTGCCAGGCATGGTGGTACACACCTGTAATCGCAGCACTCAGGAGGCTGAGGCAGGAGGATTTCTGTAGGTTCGAGACCAGCCTGGACTGCATAGAGAGTTCCAGGGCAGTCTCAACTACATAGTGAGACCCTGTCTCAAAAAAAAATATTAAAAATACTACTTACATACTTCTAAAATGTAAATATTCTACATTTACTTATTTTAGATTCTCCATGAAACTACACAAGCAGAATCATTGGTAAAATCTTATATGTCACTTAATGTTTAGATGAGATAGGCTCATTACTAATAGCTCTCTACTTACCAGTTTGTCAGAAAAAATTTTATTCAGATCCATGTATAAAAGTGATTTTGGAAAAATCACTGACTTTTTAAAAACTATACCTTCTTATATTAAATTCTTGTCAGAAATTATACAATAACACCTATTCAAACTTACTCGTGCAGAGATTCATTAAATAAAGTATATTTATTCCTTTGTCCCCCATATATAATCAGGAAATCTTGTTTCTCCATGACACCAAAAATGTGTATGCTTTGTAGTATTTTTACAAAAGGATTTTGTCTTGCTCATGTTGCTCTTCAACTTCTTCTCACTTACCATTCTCAAGCACTCCTCCAAGTCCATCTTGAGCTCAGAAGTTACTCAGAGCAGAACGACTGGTAATTCTTGTGAAATGTTTCATTCTACAGATGTCTCACAATTCCTCAATCCATGCACGATCGACACTCAGGCTGGGTCCAGTCGTTCCCTTTTAGGCCTTTGTTTGTGGTTGTTTATTTTTCTACCACAAATAATTCTGTGACAGCTTTATATGTTGTATACCCATGTATTTGAATCTTGGTGCTATTAATGATATAGAATAGTCTCTCAAGATTTCTGGGTCACAATTTTTTCTTTTAACAGTTATTGAATCTCTTCCAATCTGTCTTCTAATCATAAACAGAAAACAGTGTGTCTTCCACTGCCATTAGCCTCCCCCAGTAATTGTTTCAATCCGGGGCCCCGAATCAATAAGTACACATTAGGAAGCTGATTATCTCAGAATCGTCTTGTTTGGGCTGCTAATAAAATCAAATACCAATCAGCCACCAATCACTTTCATTCTCTGGCTGATTTCAAGGCCATTCATCTTCTGGATACTTTTATTTTCCTTTTTAGAAAATAACATATTTACTTTTCAAAAACTTTTATCCAAAACTGTTTCAGGCAACAAGCATAAATTTCAGCCTCCAAAAGTTTATAGAAAATTATTATCTGGTTTGCCATCAGAAATGCTTCCCTAAAATAATAATAAGCATTGGTGAAGACATGAACAAATTAGAACCCTCATACACTACCGCTAGAACAGAAAACAATGCAGCCACTTTGGAAAACAGTTCGATAGTTCCTAAAAATGTTAAACAGAGTTATCTCTACAATTCCATCCTTAGCTATACATCTCTGACAATATCAGAAAGAGAAAAACAACTCAAACTGTCTCTCCTCCTATAGTCTCACAACACAAATCACTTCTGTGACCCAAAAACGGTATGAGACCTTCACATCACATAGAAACAAACAATTCATTCTTCAGTGAACACCAGCTGCCTGCCTTCTAAGTCCATTCAGTTTGTTCAGGTAGCATAAGATCCCATGTTGAAGGTCTGGTCTCCAAGTTACCACCTCCCCAGTTTAGATGCTAAAAGTAAGCCTCAGTCTGTGATATGTACTTCTGATCTACTGATTATAAATACAAGTTCCTACAATTCCCCACTGTGTTTAATTTATTTACTTGTTCACAGAACTCATGGAAATACCTACTTATGTTTACCAGTTTGTAACAAGGATATAGACGAGGAAGTGAACAGGGAAAGATATGTGGGGCAGGTTGCAGAGCTTGCATGCCCTTGCCAGGCCACCACCTTTCAGGAGCCTCCACGTTTGACTATCCAGAAGCCCTCTGAACCCGTCTTTGAGTTTTTGTAGAGAATTCATTAGACAAGCATGATTCAAGTACAGGCAAATAAGTAGCAATGTGATTGGATAAAAACAGGCATCCTTCAGTACTAATAGATTAAAGAAACATCAATGAAGTCAAACCATCCAGAAGAATGCAAAAATTCTTATAGACATGATAAGAAGTACTTAACTGGGTGCCATCAAGATTTGACTCACAGTTTCCCTGTTGTTAGGGGAAGGTGAAAGAAAAGAAACCAAGATAAATTGACCAAATTTGAGCCTGAATAAGATATTACCAAGCTGACATAAAACATTGCTTTCTATGCTTTTCTCTTCCCACCAAGGAGAAGAATAATTCATTTAATCATTTGATGTTAGTAAGAAATTTGAGTGGCTCCAAAATGCTGAAAAAGTCAAAGAAATAAATTCATCCCTGGAGATTCTGCAAAGAAATGCAGCCCTACTGACACTGATTTTAGTCCAGTCGAATTCATGTCAAAGTATTGACCCACACAACTCTAAGATGAGAAATGTGTGCTGTTTCAGCTACTATATATGTGTTTACACCTTACAGAAGCAATAGAAAACTAACAAAAGTGCTGGCATTTCAAGTTCATTTAACCTGCTAGATATAAATATAAAAGAATTTATTCTTAAAAGCATTAAGATAAAGAAAATGAATTAGTTTTATTTCTCTTCTTCAAAAAAGCTTGCTATAAGATTTGTCACATCTTGTCCCTCATTCAAATGTTAACACTTTTGTACTATAATTCAAAGCTAGTGATTTTACTTCCCCAACTAAGCTTGTCTATAGACTCACATATATTTCCACAAACCTTTCCTGTAGAGACATAGGAGTACAGATTTTGTGTCTCCCAAATTTATCAAGGTTTTACTCAATGAATATAGTGCATTCTCCTACTTGATACCTGTCTCAATCTTCACACCAAACTAATATTGATCATCCAAAAGATCCAACTGGATCTCTCATCAACAAATCTGATGCACCAGCTGGGATTTGTTTTCCTTATTTAGGTTTTTGCAAATAGATTAAAACAAGAATTTGGGTGCAAGTTTATTTGGGGATTGTTTTCAGGAAGAATGGGTAAATAAAATGGGGCAATGAGGAAAATTAATGACAGATTATTTCAAAAGAAGGTTACTGCTGAGAGCAACACCACTACAATGCCACTGGGTATTCCTGAGAAATTATGAACACACTAGCAACTACGAACACACCTCAGAATTGTCCCATTGAAAGCAAAAGATGAAGATGGTGTGTTTATCCCCCAACTCATGCCCACATAGCCACCTATGGACAGTAGAGAACACCAACAGGCAGGCAATCACCTATTCAGGCCTGGAGAGATGCAGACAGCACCTGACACTTAGAAAAGTGTCTCTCTTGAGGATCTCTGACTAAGCCAAGAGGATGCGAAGGAAAGTGTCTGTGAGAATGGCTACGACTGATTTCTGGGCAAAATTAGTATAGTATATAGTATAGTATAGTACAGTAAATAATTAAATTCTTTAAATTTATAGTAAAAGACCACGTCATTAGTCACTCTCAAAAACTCCACTTTGCTTTAACACACTTGTCCCATTGTTCTTGACACTTTCTGAAGCAATTCTGGAAGCCTCTTTAATGTCCTTAGAAGGTATTACCAAAACATGAAGTGAGTTCTGCTGCCTAGTGCCATCCAAAGGAAAGGTGGGCTGGTGGAAACATTACCCTGTGTCCTCAGCCATCTGTTGTGATGTGACTTCTGACTGTATCCTAAAGTCGAAATTCCACGAAAGGTCAACATTCTGAATCAATTCAGGATGACAGAACCGCTAAAGATGCATAGCAGCCGGGCCTGGTGACACATCCTATAATCCCAGCACTTGGGAGGTTGAGGCAGGTAGATCAGCAGGAGTTTGAGAGCAGCCTGGCCCAAGCAACAGAGCAAGACCCTGTATCAAAAAAAAAAAAAAAAAAAAAAAAAAAAAA